TTGAAAAAATATTCTTTAAAAAATCCACGTTTGACGGTCTTTGGGTCCTTGAATAAAATATTCTTTAAAAAATCCACGTTTGATGGGTCCTTGAAAAAATATTCTTTAAAAAATCCACGTTTGATGGGTCCTTGAAAAAATATTCTTTAAAAAATCCACGTTTGATGGGTCCTTGAAAAAATATTCTTTAAAAAATCCACGTTTGATGGGTCCTTGAAAAAATATTCTTTAAAAAATCCACGTTTGATGTGTCCTTGAAAAAATATTCTTTAAAAAATCCACGTTTATTGGTCTATTGGTCCTTGAAAAATATTCTTTAAAAAATCCCCGTTTATTGGTCTATTGGTCCTTAAAAAACAAAATTCTTAAAAAATCCACGTCTGATAGTCTATGTGTCCTTATTGGTCCGTTCCAAAATTGCATAACTATTGATGTGCTGTTCACCTTCCTCCTAGTCCCCAATTATTGTAATTCCATTTTAAGTGTCAACCATTCAAAATTACATTACTACCAGATTTCTCATAACACACAACAAAACCAACATCAACAACAACAACAAATAACACCCTGATGGTATATCATAACATTTCTATAAGAAAATGTCATTTGTTACCAACGAAGAAGACGACGGCAGCGACGACGACGTCGAAAAAGAGGAAATCAATTCTAAAACTTAGTTCGACAATAAATTCGCCAAAGTATGACCGGAGCAACCGCAGCTTCAGCTTTTAGCATTTCTTACTGTCTACACGGACCAATGGCTGTCCGGTTGTTGCTGATGCTGTTGTTGTGTTAACAAACCATTGGGCATACGTTAATCTTTACAATCTGAAGTCATTTGTATGGATGGACAAGCAGCCATAAGAAAATTGCAGCAACAACAAATCTTCCATAGCACGGAGTAACTACTGTGCCATGGCAACGTGTTTGGGCTTTATGGGGAAGAACATTCTTGGTGTGTATGGTTTCTGTTGCTCTTCTACTTCTAGCCTGCGACAATCTAACACCTACACCCACGCTGCGAGTTAAGCTACACATTAGTTGCCTCCGCATGCATGGATGTATGAATGCGGTTTTTTTTCAAGATTTTTACTCAGGAGTAGCAGGAATGGCGGAGGAACAGGGATGTCATACTGGGAACTGAATTTGTCAGCAGGTTTTTGAAAAATATTATTGGTAAGAAACCACTTGAAAAAATATTTTTTAAAAAGTCCACGATTATTGCTCCCTATGTCCTTGAAAAATATCCTTTAAAAATCCAAGATTATTGGTCTGTTGGTCCTTGAAAATCTTTTTTTTTTAAATCCGCCACTCCGACATCCCTGCATTCTAAATTGTTTGTTTCTGTTATTTTCATCTTCTTCTCTTCGCTTCGTTTCGTTTCTGATAACTTCAACAGCATTATTTTCTGGTGGTGGTCATTTTTTATATGTCGCAATGTGGATAAAAATTGTAATGAATCCACATGGCTATGAATGTTGTTGATATTCATGTTCCTGTCGACCACACGGCATATATGGCTACACACGTTCGTACATCTACACCAGATCTATAAAACTAATGGCATATAAATTCTCATTTAAAGTAGACCATTTACAAAAGGAATGTCAACACAATACCGCAAATGTATCTCCATCGCCGCCAACACCAACAACAGCACCCCTGTCGACAACGAGATAGCCGGCAAAGGAAGGCGGATGGGGTTTTTTGGCCCTGAACTGGATTGGTGTTTTTGTAGGCGAAGGAAACGGAAATGCGTTCATTTTTCAAAAACACAAAGTGACAAAGAGCTCCCCTCTCTGGCAATGGATTATGGGTAGTCGATTGGAGACAGTTTTTAATAATAATAATAATAGAAGTAATAATAATAATAATAATAATAATAATAATAATAATAATAATAATAATAATAATAATAATAATAATAATAATAATAATAATAATAATTATAATTATAATTTATTCACCTTTGACAGCTTTTGGACCCTTGATAAATAATCTTTAAATAATCCACGTTTGATGGTCGTTGAGAAATATTCTTTAAATAATCCACGTCTTTTGATCCTTGGAAAATATTTTTTAAAAAATCCTTGAAAAAATATTCGTTAAAAAAATCTACGTTTGATGGTTCTTGAAAAATATTCTTTAAAAATCCACGTTAGCTTGGTCCTTGAAAAATATTCGTTAAAAAATCTACGTTTGAGGGTCCTTGAAAAATATTTTTTAAAAAATCCACGTTAGCTTGGTCCTTCAAAAATATTCTTTAAAAAATCTACGTTTGAGGGTCTTTGAAAAATATTCTTTAAAAAATCTACGTTTGAGGGTCCTTGAAAAATATTTTTTAAAAAATCCACGTTTGATGGCATATGGGTCCTTGAAAAATATTTTTAAAAAAATCCACGTTTGATGGCATATGGGTCCTTGAAAAATATTTTTTAAAAAATCCACGTTTGATGGACTTTTGGGTCCTTGAAAAATATTCTTTAAAAATTCATGTTTATTGGACTTTTAGGTCCTTAAAAAATATTCTTTAAAAAAAATCCACGTTTATTGGACTTTTGGGTCTTTGAAAAATATTCTTTAAAAATTCATGTTTATTGGACTTTTAGGTCCTTAAAAAATATTCTTTAAAAAATCGACGTGTGATGAACTTTTGGGTCCTTGAAATATATTCCTTAAAAAATCGACGTGTGATGAACTTTTGGTTCCTTGAAAATATTCTTTAAAAATCCACGTTTATTGGATTTTTGGGCCCTTGAAAAATATTCTTTAAAAAATCCACGTTTATTGGATTTTTGGGTCCTTGAAAAATATTCTTTAAAAAATCCACGTTTGATGGCCTATGGATCCTTAAAAAAATATTTTTTAAAAAATCCACGTTTGATGGCCTATGGATCCTTAAAAAAATATTTTTTAAAAAATCCACGTTTGATGGCATATAGGTCCTTTAAAAAACATATTCTTTAAAAAATCCTTGAAATAAATATTCTTTAAAAAATCCACGTCTATGGGTACTTGAAATAAATATTCTTTAAAAAATCTACGTCTATGGGTCCTTGAAAAAAATATTCTATTAAAAATTCACGTCTATGGGTCCTTGAAATAAATATTCTTTAAAAAATCCACGTCTATGGGTCCTTGAAATAAATATTCTTTAAAAAATCCACGTCTATGGGTCCTTAAAAAAAATATTCTTCAAAAAAATCCACGTCTATGGGTCCTTGGAAAAAATATTCTTTAAAAAATCCACGTCTATGGGTCCTTGAAAAAAATATTCTTTAAAAAATCCACGTCTATGGGTCCTTGAAAAAAATATTCTTTAAAAAATCCACGTCTATGGGTCCTTGCAAAAATATTCTTTAAAAAATCCACGTCTATGTGTCCTTGAAAAAAATATTCTTTAAAAAATCCACGTCTATGGGTCCTTAAAAAAATATTCTTTAAAAAGTCCACGTCTATGGGTCCTTGAAAAAAATATTCTTTAAAAAATCCACGTCTTTAAAAAATCCACGTCTATGGGTCCTTAAAAAATATTCTTTAAAAATCGACGTCTATGGGTCCTTGAAAAAAATATTCTTTAAAAAATCCACGTCTATGGGTCCTTGAAAAAAATATTCTTTAAAAAATCCACGTCTATGGGTCCTTGCAAAAATATTCTTTAAAAAATCCACGTCTATGTGTCCTTGAAAAAAATATTCTTTAAAAAATCCACGTCTATGGGTCCTTAAAAAATATTCTTTAAAAAATCCACGTCTATGGGTCCTTGAAAAAAATATTCTTTAAAAAATCCACGTCTTTAAAAAATCCACGTCTATGGGTCCTTAAAAAATATTCTTTAAAAAATCCACGTCTATGGGCCCCTGAAAAAAATATTCTTTAAAAAATCCACGTCTATGGGCCCCTGAAAAAAATATTCTTTAAAAAATCCACGTCTATGGGTACTTCAGATCAACTTTCGGGAAGCGTGTGATGGTTTCATTGGCCGTTTGAAAGCCATAAATCGTGCCAAAGGTGACCAATTCGAACAAATCTAAACTTATTCTAAAATTTGATGATATTTCCGACATTTTTTGTTTTCATTCAATAAAATTTTAAAAAAATGTAAAAATTATGGCGTTTGACTTTGTTGCAGTTTTTTTTATCTCACCCTGTGTACAAGGAGCCTTTTATGGATCTTATTTTAATATTTTTTCGAAAAAGATTTTTTATGAAATTTTGCCCAATGTTCTCCCACTGTGCAGTTTAATCTCCTATTACTATCCCACTGTTTTGTTGTTGTTTTCCCACTAGAAAATCCTCAATTGCCGGACATTCGTTTTTTTTTTTTTTTTTTTTTGAGTAGTCCAGACATAAGAATCGTCGTCATCATCAACCTCAGCGACCACGGCAGCAATTTTTAGTGGCGGTACAAAGATTCAGTTGGCAGCGGCCCTGGCAAACACACGCATGCACACACATATGGTCTTAGATCTTGTTTTTAGTAAAGCTGTCGTTGGAAAGTGTCAAAAGTGATATCGATACAATATATTGTTTCCTTATTGCCTGATGCATTACTAGGAAGTGTCTTGGTGTGTGTGTGTGTGTGAGAGAGAGTATCTGAATGGGTTGAGGCATTAATGCTTGGTTATGGTGGTGGTGGCTAGATTGGTCTGGCTGGGACACACATGGATTTTTTTTTATATTTATGAGTTGGTATCTTAAGAAGACAACAACATCAGTAATAATAACAACAACAACATATGCGATCCCCGGTCCAGCCACTAGAAATGTGAGGGACTTAAGTCCAGGATAAATGCTGGAAATAAATTTGTAAACGATTGTTTGACAATGTTGTCTGTTCGTGGAGGAGGGGAAGGAGGGGGGATGCTTTTTTGCTTGTGGGAGGCAGGGGAAGGGGCTGGGTTTTAATTTTCCATGGATCGCAGCTTAAGAATCTTTTGTTGAACAATTAATGGTTATAAATTGTAATTTTTGTTACCAACTCTTCTCTCTCTTTTTAGATGCTTGCCATGGCTTAGAGTCAGCTTAACTGCCCAACACAGCAACAACAACACCGATACCAACAACAGCAGCACCCATCCAGCTAGCTTTACTGCCTTGACATTATGTCACATCAAACAGCCAGACGTTCACAGGCTCCGACAAGCCTTGAATGTCCACTGGCCTCGTTGGGCCGCAACAGTGCTGCCGTTATGGATAGCCTAAATGGTTTGCATCAGCCCACATTTCATCACCCACTTAGCTCGAGTCCCTTGGATCCTCAGGTCTATCAAATGTCACGAAAATCCCCCAATCTGAGCATTGATACCGACACCGAGCCGATATATCACAGCAATGCCAATAATGCCACAGAAGACACCGTTGATGGTCTGGTGGAGACGCCGAACACAAATGGCAATCCGAACAGTTCGAACAGCAATCCACCACAAACGGGTGCACCGCCACCACCAAATCCGCTATACAACCTATCAAGATCTTCGTCACAAAGTTCCCTGGATCATCCGATACAACCCATACAACATAAGGCAGCCACCTTTGAGTTACGCTCCAGTCGGGGTCACACGCTGAATGGCAATGCCTCGGTACTGCCCTCCTCGGCGTCGGTGGGTCGTACCGCACAACAGCAGCAACGTGCCAATTTATGTCTGCCACCCAATGCCACGACGGCTGGCAATGGAGCCACCAACCAACAGCAAAGAAACTTCTTGGCATTGGAGCACTTGATGCAATACGGACGCCATGAACGTGGACCCAGTGCCTATGTTTTGCACAGCAACAGTGGCGATACGGAAGATTCCAGTGATGCTGCCCCAGGAGTGGGGCCGAATGCGAGTACAAATCGTTTGGTACGCCACCAGGGCGGGAGGGCCAGTGCGGCCACCGTCAACACCAATGGAACGGGTAGGAACTCCCAATATTATTTGGACAAGAAAATGGAATCGCTGTATTTAGGAAGTGCCATACGGGGGTTACCCCTGGGGTCAGAGGCTAGCAATTATCAAAGTGAACGTTATTATCTGGAGGATGGACTGCGGAGCATGTGTAATTTCAGCGATGACAATGAGCGGCTGCAAGGTGAGTGGAATGGGGGTTTATCCAAATTATCCAAATGGGATTAGATTCAGGTTATCCGATGGATAAAACATAAACATCCAAAATATACAGATGACTTATCCGTGCTATCCGAAATATTTAGATGCCTTATCCGCGTTATCCAAAATGTGCATTGCCCTTATCCGCGTTATACAAAGTATGTAGGAACATTATCCGTGTTATCCAAATTATGTAGGAACATTATCCGCGTTATCCAAAATATGTAGGTACTTTATCCACGTCATTCAAAATATGTTAGGACCTTATCCGCATTGTTTAAAATATATAGGGACCTTATCCGCGCTATCCAACGTACGTAGGGACCTTATCCACATTATCCAGAACGCGTGGAGAACTTATTCGCGTCATCCAAAATATGTAGGAATATTATCCGCGTTCTCCAATATATGTAGAAACCTTATCCACGTTATCCAGAAAGCGTGGAGACCTCATCCGCGTTATCCAAAATATGTAGGAACCTTATCCGCATTATCCAGAATGCGTAGAAACCTTACCCGCATTATGCAAAGTGTGTAGAAAGATTATCCGCATCATCTTAAATACGTAGGAGCCTTATCCGCATTACACAAAATATGTAGGGACCTTATCCGGGTTATCCAAATATAGAGGGACATTATCCACGTTATCCAGAACGCGTGAAGACCTTATCCGCGTTATGCAAAGTGTGTAGAAAGATTATCCGCATCATCTTAAATATGTGGGGGCCTTATCCGCGTTATCCAAAATACGTAGGGACCTTATCCGCGTTATCCAAAATATATAGGGACCTTATCCACGTTATCCAGAACGCGTGGAGACCTATTCCGCGCTATCCAAATTATCTAGGGAACCTTATCCACTTTATCCAGAATGCGTAGAGACCTTATCCGCGTTATGCAAAGTGTGTAGGAAGATTATCCGCATCATCTTAAATATTTGGGGGCCTTATCCGCGTTATCCAAAATATGTAGGGACCTTATCAGCGTTATCCAAAATATATAGGGACCTTATCCACGTTATCCAGAACGCGTGGAGACCTATTCCGCGCTATCCAAATTGTCTAGGGAACCTTATCCACTTTATCCAGAATGCGTAGAGACCTTATCCGCGTTATGCAAAGTGTGTAGGAAGATTATCCGCATCATCTTAAATATGTAGGGGCCTTATCCGCATTATCCAAATTATGTAGGGGCCTTATCCGCGTTATCATAAATATATAGGGACCTTATCCGCGTTATCCAAAATATGTAGGAACCTTATCCGCGTCATCCAGAATGCGTAGAAACCTTATCCGCATTATACAAAGTGTGTAGGAAGATTATCCGCATCATCTTAAATACGTAGGAGCCTTATCCGCATTATACAAAATATGTAGGGACCTTATCCGGGTTATCCAAAATATAGAGGGACCTTATCCACGTTATCCAGAACGCGTGGAGACCTATTCCGCGTTATGCAAAGTGTGTAGGAAGATTATCCGCATCATCTTAAATATGTAGGGGCCTTATCCGCGTTATCCAAATTATGTAGGGGCCTTATCCGCGTTATCCTAAGTATATAGGGACCTTATCCGCGTTATTCAAAATATATAGGGACCTTATCCGCGTTATCCAAAATATGTAGCGACCTTATCCACGTTATCCAGAAAGCGTAGAGACCTTATCCGCGTTATTCAAAATATGTAGGAACCTTATCCTCCTTATCCAGAACGCGTGGAGACCTTATCCGTGTAGGAAGATTATCCGCATCATCTAAAATATGTATGGACCTTATCACGTTATCCAAAATATATAAGGACCTTATCCGCGTTATCCAAAATATGTAGGAACATTATCCACGTTATCCAAAGTATGTGGAGGCTTTATCCAGGTTATCCCAAACATGTATACGCTTATCCGCGTTATCCAAATTATATAGAAACATTATCCGAGTAATCCAAAATATGTGGGAACCTTATCCGACATATGTAGCTATCCATAATATTTGTTTCAAACAATCGAATAAATTTTTTAATGTTTTCACTCCACTTTCAGATCCCCACCTAATACATCATCGCGCCTCCAGTCCCAGCGAAACATCCGGCTCGGATCGTTACCTCTTGAATCGCACCAATTCTCCCGCCAATGCCTTCAGTTCATCAAATCGTCTGGATAATTTTTCCAGTTCGAATAACAACACCTCATCGTCGTCGAATTTGGCCTTGGATCAGCGGTATCATCATACCAAAGTGAAAAGTCTATCGGACGGCCTGTGTAATCTGGGGAGATTTTCACCTAGTCTAGATCAGGGTTATGCCACACTGGTGTCACCCTCACCGACAGGACATCATCCGAATACGATTACCACCCATGGAATTGTACATCATCCCCCACCGGCTGCCATGTCAGCGGCAGCGGCCATAGTACGGCGACATGTGGAGACCGGTCCTCCACCATGGTCGAAAAAGGGTCCTCTGCGCTCCGGGCCCTATTTTGATCGTCTACCCGATGAAGCAATTTTGAAAATATTCCAATGGTTCGACAGCTGTGAACTGTGCAACTTGGCCAGAGTGTGTCGACGTTTTGAGCAACTGGCCTGGCGTCCGGTTTTGTGGAAAGTGATTTCCCTGAAAGGGGAGCATTTGAACGGGGACAAAGCTTTGAAAATGATGTTTCGCCAGCTATGCGGCCAGACAAGAAATGGATCTTGTCCCGAAGTGGAAAGGGTTATGTTGGCCGAGGGTTGCCGCATATCGGATAAGGGTCTGCAGCTGCTGACACGCCGTTGCCCAGAGCTGACACATTTACAGCTGCAAACGTGTGTCAATGTCTCAAATCAGGCCCTCATTGATGTTCTAACCAAATGTACAAATGTCCAGCATTTAGATGTGACAGGTGAGTGGGGGTGGGAGGGAAGTTTTGTGAGGAAAGGGGTATTTATTGTTGTCGTTTGTTTATTGCAGGTTGCACCCAAATTAACACCATAACACCCAATCCAAATCTGGAGCCACCACGAAGATTGTTGCTGCAATATTTGGATTTAACCGACTGCACTGCCATAGATGATGTCGGCCTCAAGATTGTGGTGAAAAATTGCCCCCAATTGGTTTATCTTTATCTAAGACGCTGCATACAAATTACAGGTAAGATAAAGCTACGTAGCTGAATTTGAAAATTTCTAGATAAAAATTTGCGTTATCCAGATAATGTAGATACATTATCCACTTTGTCGAAATAATGTAGATACACTATTAGCATTATTCAAAGTACGTGATATATTATCCAAGTTATACAGAACGCGTGGAGACCTTATCCGCGTTATCCAAATACGTAGGGACCTTATCCAAAATAAGTCGGGACCTTATCCGCGTTATTCAAAATATGTAGGGACCTTATTCGCGATATTCAAAATATGTATAAACCTTATCCATCTTATCCAGAATGAGTAGAGACCTTATCCGCGTTATGCAAAGGGTATAGGAAGATTATCCCCATCATCTTTAATATGTAGGTGCCTTATCCGGGCTATCCAAAAATATATTGGGACCCTATCCACGTTATCCAGAACGCGTGGAGACCTTATCCGCGTCATGCAAAGTTTGTAGGAAGATTATCCGCACCATCTTAAATATGTAGAGGCCTTATCCACGTTATGCAAAGTATGTAGGAAGATTATCCGCACCATCTAAATGTATGTATGTATGGACCCTCCAAACCATACTTTTTCTTCCTTGTCCAAATAATGTAGATACTTTATCCGCGTTATTCAAAGTACGTAGATATATTATCCGCGGTATCAAAACTACGTAGATACATTATTCACGTCATCCAAATTAAATAGATACATTATCCACGTTATCCAAACTACGAAGATACATTATCCATGTTAGCCAAATTATGTAGATACATTATCCACGGTATCCAAATAATGTAGATACATTATCCATATTATCCAAACTACGTAGATACATTATCCACGTTATCCAAACTACGTAGATACATTATCCATGTTAGCCAAATTATGTAGATACAATATCCACGTTATCCAAACCAAGTAGATACATTATCCATGTTATCCAAATTACGTAGATACATTATCCAAATGAAGTAGATACATTATCCAAATGAAGTAGATACATTATCCATGCTATCCACACTACGTAGATACATTATCCATGCTATCCACACTACGTAGATACATTATCCACGTTATCCAAACCAAGTAGATACATTTTCCGCGTTATCCAAACTACGTAGATACATTATCCACGTTATCCAAATAATGTAGATACAATATCCACGTTTTCCAAATAATGTAGATACAATATCCACGTTATACAAACCAAGTAGATACATTATCCATGTTATCCAAACTACGTAGATACATTATCCATGCTATCCAAACTACTTAGATACATTATCCATGCTATCCAAATGATGTAGATACATTTTATATGCTATCCAAATAACGTAGATACATTATCTTCGTTATCCAGCTATTGTAGATACATTATCCTAGTTATCCAAACTCCGTAGATACATTATCCACGTTATCCAAACCAAGTAGATATATTTTCCGCGTTATCCAAACTACGTAGATACATTATCCACGTTATCCAAAGTACGTAGATACATTATCCATGTTATTCAAATAATGTAGATACAATATCCATGTTATCCAAATAGTGTAGATACAATATCCACGTTATCCAAACCAAGTAGACACATTATCCTAGTTATCCAAACTCCGTAGATACATTATCCACGTTATCCAAACTACGTAGATACATTTTCCGCGTTATCCAAACTACGTAGATACATTATCCACGTTATCCAAAGTACGTAGATACATTATCCACGTTATTCAAATAATGTAGATACAATATCCACGTTATCCAAATAATGTAGATACAATATCCACGTTATCCAAACCAAGTAGATACATTATCCACGTTATCCAAATTACGTAGATACATTATCCAAATGAAGTAGATACATTATCCATGCTATCCACACTACGTAGATACATTATCCACGTTATCCAAATAATGTAGATACATTATCCACGTTATCCAAATAATGCAGATACAATATCCACGTTATCCAAACCAAGTAGATACATTATCCACGTTATCCAAACTACGAAGATACATTATCCATGTTATCCAAACTACGTAGATACATTATCCATGCTATCCAAACTACGTAGATACATTTTCCATGCTATCCAAATGATGTAGATACATTTTATATGCTATCCAAATAACGTAGATACATTATCCACGTTATCCAAACCAAGTAGATACATTATCCACGTTATCCAAACCAAGTAGATACATTATCCACGTTATCCAAACCAAGTAGATACATTTTCCGCGTTATCCAAACTACATAGATACATTATCCACGTTATCCAAAGTACGTAGATACATTATCCACGTTATACAAAGTACGTAGATGCATTATCCATGTTATCCAAATTTCGTAGATACATTATCCACGTTATCCTAACTATGTAGATACATTATCTACGTTATTCAAAAGAAGTAGATACATTATCCAAATAATGTAGATACGTTATCCAAATAACAGACACATTATCGCGGTATCCAAAAGATGTAGATACATTATCCATGTTATCCAAATAACTTACATATATTATACAAAAATATTCGACACGTTATCTTAATCTTTCTTTTTCGTATTTTCAGATGCAGGCCTCAAATTCGTGCCAAGTTTTTGCATAGCCCTCAAAGAGCTCAGCGTCTCGGATTGTGTAAATATCACCGATTTCGGGCTTTACGAACTGGCCAAATTGGGCGCTGTGCTGCGTTACCTATCGGTGGCGAAATGTGATCGAGTCTCCGATGCTGGCCTTAAAGTCATAGCAAGACGATGCTATAAGTTACGCTATCTAAATGCTCGTGGCTGTGAGGCAGTGAGTGATGATTCTATTACAGTTTTGGCTAGATCCTGTCCACGCCTGAGAGCACTTGATATTGGGAAATGTGATGTCAGTGATGCTGGACTACGCGCCCTGGCCGAAAGTTGTCCGAACCTGAAGAAATTGAGTTTACGCAATTGTGATATGATCACCGATCGTGGAGTACAATGCATTGCCTACTACTGTCGGGGGCTGCAACAGTTGAATATTCAGGATTGTCAAATCTCCATTGAGGGCTATCGAGCGGTGAAGAAGTATTGCAAGCGTTGTGTTATTGAACACACCAATCCGGGATTTTGTTAATAGGCGAAGGGGGGAAGAAGTTGAATTTAATCGAGTTAAGGAATTGAGTGACCTACGTTTGTAAATATCTGATTAAAAATATTATAATTGGCCAAAATTTCCAAATTATTAATGAAATTTGTACAGTCGAACGCGGTTGGAGGGAGTTTTTGAAAAGTATTTAAAATTTTTTTGACAAAATAGAGTACTGGGGTAGGATTCCTGTTCTATGACAAGAGGAAATAAAAAATATTTTCTTTTCGTTTTCGTTTTAAACTTCTTTTAATTTCACATTTTCATGGAACAAGAATTGGGACCCTGACTATAGTACCGTCATATATATGCTGTTCGTTATGACCGTGTTCTACTGTAAATTTATTTTTGGAATCCATCAACAATTAGCCATAAATAAAGAATTATTTTCTCTCTCTATGTAAATTATTTAAAACAATTGTATAAAATTATGAATAAATTTATAAACAAAATTTTTATTATTAAAAAAATTGAAAATTATATTTAAAGCAAGTATTGAAATTTATATCTTATTTTTAATTAATAACAAATATTTATGCAAAGAATGTTTTGTAATAGTTTAATATAAATATAAATTGATTTTGTACGTATATTACTAGTAATATTTGGGTATGTCGATATCTGAAACATACCAACTTTTGTTTTTGTTTACTAAATTATTATATATATTATAAAAAAAAAACAAATAATAAAATTTTGTAGTAATTTTTTATAACTGTAAGAATTGAGAAATTATTCAGAAGTCTTAAAGAGGTAAGTACAGATAGTCTTGAGGGTTCTTTTAAACTATTGCTATGTTCCAGAACTGCAAGAGTGTTAAATATTTTACTACGATTATCGATTTTTCCCTTTATGATATTAAAACAAGTAAAAAAGCTGTAATTTCGGCCGGGTGGAACTTTGAATACCCTCCACCATTTATAACGAATTTGACAATTTTCCAAAAAAAAATCCGTTAAAAATTGTGTTAAAATCTTAAAAATACCTAATGTAGCTGTCGTATTAGGGTATTTTTTTGTCATAAATCATTACAATATTTAAATGCGAAACTTGAAAAAAATCGGTTAATAATCTACCTATAATCATCAATATAGGGAGGTACTATTATATGGGGGGCAATACCATAATGTGGACCTACACAGACAATTTTTTGCCTTATGTTGCAGTATCCATTATGAACTTTAAATACCAAATTTGAAACAGTTCCGGTGAATAATGTCGCTAAAATCATCAAAATACCGAATATCTAAGGTGCTGTTAAATGGGGGATATACGAAGGACGTGGACCTGCACAGACAATTTTCTGTCATAGGCTGTAGCATTTATTGCGAACTTCATATGCCACATTTGAAACAATTACGGAGAATAATGTTGCTAAAATCATCTAAATACCGACTATCGGGAGGTACCGTTATATGGAGGCTATACGAAGTCGTGGACATGCACATACAATCTCCTGTCATAGGCTGTAGTATCCATTACGAACTTCAAATACCAAATTTGAAACAATTCCAGTGAATAATGTCGCTAAAATCAACAAAGAATCGAATATCGGGAGGTGCCGTTACATAAGGGCTATACGAAGACGTAGACTTGCACAGACACTTTTCTGTCTTAGGCTGTAGTAACCATTACGAATTTCAATTACCAAATTTGAAACAAATCCGGTGAAAAATGTCGCTAAAATCACCAAAAAATCGAATATCGGGAGGTACCGTTATATGGGGGCTATACGAAGATGTGGACCTATATGGCCCATTTTCAATACCAAAAGTCCTGCAGACATAATACACATTTGAGTAAAATTTTATCAATCTACTTCATTTCGTTCGGAAGCTGGAGTGATTTCGACAGACAGACGGATATAGGACGGGCAACGCTAAATCGACTTAGAATTTTACGCTGATCAAGAATATATATACTTTATTGGGTCTGACATGAGCATTTCGAGGAGTTACAAACGGGATGGCAAAGTTAATATACCCTTCATAGTATGGTGGAGGGTATAAAAATTGTAGGTTCTCGACAAGAGCATATATTAGCACTCACATTTTCTTAAATCCTATTATATCCACAGATTTCTTTTGCTCAGGTCTCGTAATCAAATCCGCTCTATAGTAAAGCTGTACAAGATCCCGCTACTTCTACAGCGAAAATTCCACCTTAATTTTTTGATTCGTTCCAACAGCTTTTTGTACTCAAAATTCACAATGTGTTTAGTATGACAACACTCCATGCATTCCTTCATTTCGAAGTTTACCGAGGAGTATATTAGCAAAACCATTGGACAATGGACCTACATTCCATTTTTCTATTCAAAACTATTTCACTAAACTCTAGAAACCAACAGTGACTTCAATATCAAATTTCACCATCGTTCATCTATCGCCAACATGTATCGCTATGTAATATAAACCGAACTGTTCCAAATTTGGTACCATTTAGTACAGTTCGCATATTTAGTACAAATTTCTTCATATATCAATCTTACTTTCCAATCTTGATTCTCATACCAAATTTCAAGTATTTAGCTCTATACCAAACAGTACCATTTTAAAAATTTAATACCATTTTAGAACTTTTCCTAACCTTAGAGTGGCTCTCATTCAAAATTCTTAGCTCATTCCGTTTTTCCAATACAAAGTATTAAATTTTGAGTACATCTTAGTACCTTTCGTACCCTTTTAGTACGAATTTCCAAAAACCCAACTCTATCATACATCTACGCACCAAGACTGGCCCTTGTGCAAAGTTTCAAGATTCTAGCTTCAGCTGTTTCGTTTAGGCGTCGATTCTAGATTAGTCAGTCAGTTATTTTACTACTCTTTTATACCGATTTTTTTAAAGTTGATCGAAGCCACGAACATATAAAGACCAACTATCGATTTGTATTGAAATTTAAAAAATATATATATTTTTAAAGGATTTTCTAAGGAATATATATTTAAGAACTATCTGACGAAATAACGTGAATTTTTTTCAGAACATTTTTCAAGAGCTTTGGGTTAAATTAATCGTGGGGTTTTTAAGGAATATTGTTTCATATTGCTAAAGACCCTCGGGCAGGAGTTATGCCTTGAAAATATTCGCTATTGGTGACCAAAGTTCTGTATTACTTGTCACTTCTACTGACAACATAACACCGCTCATTCTGTTTCCATTTATTCGATTTGTACAGGCATAACAATGTCTGTTGTCCGAATAATGAAATACATTATTCCTAAAAAGATGATTTAATTACTCCATTTTCAATGCTTCTTAAACGAAGTGGTACCTACCCAATTGAGATTTATGACTTTCTCATAACTCATAACATCAGCTCTCATCATAAACAGGTTTGCTACCATCTTGGGACTCTTCGAACTGACTACTAAAATTCGAATCACACTCATTTTGATCGGTATAGGTACAGGCTGAGCTCCTATCATTAATTTTTCTGGGTTTTGGAGGGGATATAATTTTTGCCAATAATTCATTATCCAATCATCAACTCCTTTTTCTGTTAATGGATCTATAACTAACCTGTTAACCTCCATCCTCAGTATCTAGACTAAAGTGTGCTTAGACACTAAAAATGTCAATACCAATAGCATCTATTATAGCTCAAATATCACTTAACATTGAATCGTTATCGTTGGCAAATTTCCTTCACATTCATTAACATTAAATTTCCAACAAAAACAAGTTTATATCGGTTTTAATTTTCTTTTCATCATTGCATTTATGTATTAAACTCAAAGGAACCATATTCACACAAGCACTGTGGACCATTCTTTTAAAGTTATTTTCAAGGGTTTTCCACAGACTTGTCATCCAAGTCAAATAATAAAAAGAGCACATAAATGATAGGAATTCAGCTTACTTTACTACATCGTGTCGTGTCTTCATTTCATTTCATGCATTTAATAACAATTAAAAAACGTACTAAAATAAAAAACACTTTCATTAAAACTAAAGCAATATTTTTAACGTCTGGCTATGGATCTAAAACAATCTCTTAAACACATCTATACACCGCGCGTCAACCACAAACCTACTTGTGGATGACCACTCATCGTTGTTTATCACCCGCGGACCCCGTCGCATCATCCGCTGCCGCAGATGGTTTTGCTGCCTTTAAAGCCTCTTTCAGTTCCTGGTCGATACGTTCTTTAGCACGGAACACCTTGGATTGCAGATAAAATGAGCCACCTTTGGCTTTGTCGTTTACCGCAAATAAATGTTCATATTTTTTGGTGATTTCTTCGAAATTTTTCAAGTCTTCTACATTTAGGATTTGTTTGGCCTCTTCCAGTGTCATGCCTGTAAATAATAAAAATTATTATTTTCAATTGTTCCTTGAATTTCATCATCCCACAGTTACTTACCCGTTCTGGCATTGGCCTCTGCCCTCTTCTCGCCCTGCCGACCACCACCGGCACGACGTGCAGCCTCTTGTGAAGCTGCTATCTCTTGTTTCAATGCCTTGGCAAAGGCACGTCCAATCGCCTGTGTGCCCAAAACAATAATCTGTGCTAAATACTTGGCCATTTCTTGAGTCTAGCAGGTACTGTAACTACATCAGATGTCCACTACGTAAATAATTATTTAGTAATTGCAGCCAATTAATTAGTTTTTATTAAGTAATTTGGAAAAAACGTATAATATTTACGGAAGAAATTGATATTATTCAATCGTTTCTAACCTTAAACAAGTGTCAAATTTGACATAACAGCTGTAACATATGTTTGCTTTGGAAAAGTGCTGCCAAGTTGGGATGAGATTGTATTGATTGGGTGGTGTGGTGAATTTTTCTTGAATAGAGACAGTGAATGCTCCAAACTTATATAAGCAGTGAAAAAAGATCTCTTAACTACTGAGAATTATATTAAATATATGTACAGATGTCAAAAAACTGATAATTTTTCAGAAAGGATTATTTCAAACACTTTGTCATGCATTTGGTGAACCATAACATATTTAAATGACACTTTTTTAAACAAGTTGGTCGGGGAATCATCACTCTGGTGTTTTACGGCCAGAGGGCACAAATATCAATAAAAATACCAATAACAAATGCCACAAGCATGGTACAATGAATTCAAGGTAGGGCAGAACTACCATATGATTTAATTTTTTTCATTTTTCTGGCTTAATATGTCAACTTCATTTGCTTATGTGTGTGTCTTCTTTTCAATAATAAAAAATTGTTCAGAAAATATTCAAATTCGGGTGTTTTGAAAATGCTTATTGCAACGAATGCATCGACAAAATCTACAGTTTTTTGTCGCGAAATAAACCATAAGAGATATTTAGAACATGATTTTGAAAAGAAATTTTGACCTTACATTCAGTTTTCGCGGTTTTAAATTATTTATTCAAAATCAATGCAACAAGTTGTTTGCTTTTTTATTGTTTTGATACAAATTCTGACATTACAAGCCAAACAGGTAGACCTCTATACTTGCATTTTTTTCAAAGTTGACCTACCTTCTCTTCATTGTACCATGGCCACAAGTAGTTTTTTATTTGAAACTTTTGGCACAATATTTTAATTAAAGAGAAAATCAAGAAGATTGATTGAAACGACGAGGATTTTTGACAACATCGTATTTCTAATTCTTTTTCATCCCAAAGATCAAAAAGCTGTAAATATGAAATTGAATTTCAACAGAATTTGAAAATGAAACATAAGGTGAAAGTACATAAAAGGCTTTTTGTACTCTCTTAAGTCTTCGGCTGGCTTCTTCGTAGAAGAACAAAGGAGTTTTAGGTTGACTTAGTTCGATTTTGGCCCTACGCTCTTTTGTTCTTTTCCAAAGAAGCCAGTCGATAACTTAAGCCAGTAAAAAAGCGTTTTGTGTATTCTCACCTTTTTGCTCTGTTCCAGAATCTGAAAGAATCTACTTTTTTTTTTTGCATTTTTCCGCAATATTATAAAGATAAAATTGGTTATCGTAGTAAAAACTTTTACATTCTTGCAGTTCTGGAACAGAGCAAAAAGGTGAGAATACATATAAAGCTTTTTCGACATGCATAAGTCATCTGCTGGCTTCTTTATAAAAGAACAAAATAGTTTTAAGCCAGTCGAAAAAGCGTTTTAAGTAATTCTCACCTTAATTATACCCTCAGCCATATGGAATACATCATTTGATATGGTCAAAACGTTCCTCATCGAAATGACCATTTAGACTCTAAGTCTCGAAGGGAGAATCCAATTTGGTCCAAATTTAATATATCGCAGTATTATTATCAATGGGAGATGGGCAATATCGGTCCACTCCTTTTCGTCCCTTCCCCACAAAATATCGAACATTTAAAAGAAAATATTTTACTGCACAGAAAGAGAAAGGATAATCCTATTTTGCTTCAACATTGCAAATCCGCGAAAATGGATAATATTAGTCTCCTCAATTAAGGGTCAAAATTTAGAAAAATTATAACTCTTATAAAATTTTGTGAAAGAGTCCGACAACCTTCAAATTAAATGCATCACAATATTTTTATTAACACTAGTACTGGTAACTCCCCTACAAAGGGTCAACATTTTGAATAACCACGTAACTCATAAAACGCGAAAATAACGTTCCATTCCATTCAGACTTAGCACATCTCAGCATTTCCATCAACACAAGGTCTGTTATGAAAGTGGTAGAGATCGGGCCGTTCCTTCTGCTACCTCCCACGCAAAGGGTAAAATTATTCAATAACCAAAACGATTATAAAATCCGAAATAAGCATTCGCTTCCCCTCATATTTCACACATATTAACACAAGATTTGCTCTGAAGATGAGGTCTACTCCTCCTGACATCTCCCCCACAACGAGAAAATAGCATACGATTCCATTCAGACTTGGTACATCTCAATTCCATTTCCATCAACACAAGATCTGTTAAAATGATGGAAAAGATCGGACCATTTGTTCTGGTACCTCTTCCACGTGGGGTTCTCTTCCAATTGCACACATACAAACATTTTTGCTAACGCAAGAACTGTTGTGAACATGATATATATCTGCGATCCCTTCTGGTACCTCACACACAAAGGATCACAATTTTCAATTATTTTATCTGTCATAACTTACGGAACAAGTCAGCGATTTTTTAAAACTTCCTAAAAATTGGAAATTATAATTTCGTATTTTTGCCCATGCCAATATTTTTATCTGTATAAGATGAGGCTGATACTTTTTAACACTTTTTTTAACATCAATTGTCTCCATAATAGCTTTTCACTACATATTTTTTTATTCTCTTTTTATTGTGTTTGTGTATGTAAAGAAACATCAACTGGGCGGCATTAATATCATCTCAGATCTTTTAATCCCAATGGTTCAATATTCAGTAGTAATAAAAAGGCAAATTACATTTTTCTATAAAAAAAGTATGTCAACGTGAAACGAAACCTTTTTTAAAAGAAATTTGTGTTCATTTATTGTTTTCATAACATAAATACATCCCCACCAACATTTAACACGAAACACAGCAAGATATAACCTCCTTTCTTCATTACACCATACAATTAAACAAAAACTGTGAACCTCCCTTAATGTTTACATTCAAAATTGTGTTTTTTTGTTGTGCTGTTCATCGATTGAAGAGAAGAGAAAAAGTGTTCTAATTGTAAATTGCAGTTTTTGTTGTTAAATACATTAAATTATCATATAAATCAATATTTCAAAAACAATTGTACTCCTATGGACCTTGTTGTTGTGCGAAAATAATAGTACAAATGAACTTTTGCCATATTGTGAACGAAAAACATCAACGTATCATAGTGCAATGTCTGACAACCCACATCACCACCCCCAACCTGTTTACCTGATCCAATTGGAATTTTGTTCTTTAACTATTGATTTGGGGCAAATATTATCTTGAGTTTTTAAATATTGGAACTTAAAATATTTTGTGAAAATGTTGTAAGAAAAAGTGTGTCAAAATAATTGTAAGCCCTGCTTTGTAGACTTCGAACGGTAGCGGTAGCCTGAGGGATATGAATCACTCATAACTGCCCAATTTTTGTTATCAGAATCTCCAACGAAAGAAATTGCATTGCATATTTCTTATTTCGCAGTATTGTTGTATTGGCAAATGCCTTTAGAATTTTTGTCTGTATTTGAAAAGAGATTTTTCTCACTCTGCCTGCCCATCGACCAGAATGTGTGGGACATGCGCATCACTTCATTCGGAGAACATGGATTTTATATTCCAGCAAAAGCTGCTCTTGGATTTTTTTGAAACAACCACGAACCACGATGTCTTTTAACTTTTAACCAACTGTGGTGTCCAACATCATTGTTTTGCAAGCAGATTTATTTGATTTGGAAGTCATGGGGAAATACTGAGTAAATAGACCTCAATGTTGGGCATATGTGGAGTAGATAAAATGAAGATTTTAGGGACTTCTGGGCAATATTTGAACTTAAGCTTCTTTATGCCTAAAGGTATAACATTCTGAACAGTCTGTAAGGGTCAATTTGAAACCACGGAGATGGAACTAGATCAGCATAGAAACATAACAGTTACGTGAAAGACACCACATCAGCCACAATGAGGCCCAATCATAATTCTGGCTGTAACATCCGCATTACAAGCGTTTATGTACACATCTAGAAACATCAGAAATGAGATAAGTCAACAAAATTGGGTCAAGTTGGTTCTGCCTCAACCGTTCATTTTATGTGGAAAGCCTACATCAATCAGATCACAGGCGCTATGTTTCAAACCCTGCAAGAATCTGAAAGTTTTGGTAATTTTAGCTGTTTTTGGCTTTATACACACAAGTTCTTTTCGTACGGGAACACACATGAAGTTACTGATAGATAGATCTAAAAATGCCTTCAATAGAAAGATCTCAAAAAACCTATTGCATATATATATGTTTCGGATTGTTGTGCATCACAAGTTAATACATTGCATTAAATCGTTTAGAAGCCCGACTGAGACAACTTTACTGCACTCTGTTTCAGAGATATACTTCGTATTCATCGTATCGACGTCAGATTATGGAAAAGGAACTTTAACTGCATAATTTTTTAATACGATTTTATGAATGGGTGGAAGTCAAACGCCATAACTTTTACATTTTTTTTTTAATTTTATTGAATGAAAGCAAAAAATGTCGAAAATAGCATCAACTTCTAGAATCAGTTTAGATTTGTTTGAATTGGTCACCTTGGCAGGAATTATGGCCTTCAAACCGCCAATGAAACCGTCACACGCTACCGGAATGTTGCTCGGTGGTATTTTGGTTCATTCCCGGCGAGGCGCTTGCTTGACGTGATCGACACTTTGGTATTTTTTAGTGCCAACCTTGCTTTCCAAAGTACTCCAGACACAATAGTCCAACGGATTGATATTCAGAGATTTTGGTGGCTGGAAATGAAGCGAGGAACCTCATTATGTAACCATTCTTGGGTGGCGCGTGCTGAGTGTGATGGTGCTGAGTCCTGTTGGAATGTCCAAGGTCTTCGGCTAAAATGTTTGCTTGTCCAAGGCTTTAATACATCCTCTAGAATATTTTCGCGATAACATTCGGCATTTATTCTGATGCCAAGGTCGATTAATACGAGTGGAAAGCGACTATTGGCTGTTATGGCGGCCCACACCATCAACGTGGCCGGCGCTTGAGTTCTGGTGGCCAACCGAAGGTGCGCATTTTCAGCTGATGTATTTGACACTTTATTTGTTTACAAATTGCTGGACAATGAATGCTTTCTCATCGGAGAAAATCAAATTCGGCAGTTCACCACTTTCGGCCAAGCGAAGCACCTCTTTAATCCCGAGCTCATTTTTAAATATTTGCCGAAAGGACTGTTGCGATATGTTCAGCTCACGAGCAATTTTCGGCCACTGCGACGGGGGTTTCGATCAAGTCGCTTCTTTACTTTTCGAACCATTTCTGCCCGAATTTTGTCCCTTTCTTTCCACAATTTATTTTGGGACATCAAGCAAATGTTATTCGCAACGTTAAGTTAATCTGAGGGAATCTCAATGGTAATATTGAAAGAACTGTATGAGTTGGTAGTGGAATTTCCAAACTTCGCTCTTTCCTAAATTTTGAACAAATTATCCACTTAAGTCACGAAAGGATATCTGCAATGGTTAACGCCACAGTCTGATTTTAAACATTCGAAGGCGTTATTATAGAAAAGTGAAATGGTGATATATCCTGAACTATTTAACTTCTACTTTTCCCGAATTCAAAGCCGTCCAGCTGATTCGTTTGTCAAATTGACTGCCTTCTCTAATGCGAAGAATATGCTAGATTGCCGCCCTGAGTACTACAAAAGGGTACCTTTGCTGTACTTTTTGACACCCAGACGAGTCAGAAAGTACCTATGAAATCTAGAAAGAGAAGACCAACGATATAAGTGAGAGCCTCTAGATCAAGAAGCGTATAAGACAGCTTTGAGTTATATTCATAATGATGCATTACATTATGTTTGCCGTCCTCGGAAGTTCAAAATCGTAGCAATTTGTATTGAGCGTGAATTGACGACAAAGTGTGGGTGAGTATTTTCAGCAGATGACAAGGCTCGCACACTTCACTACCTCCCTTTAGCCGCTCTGGCAAGTCTATCCAACTCACAGGTGGCGGATTTGCAAAATTTGAAATTATAGATAAAATCTGATAAGTAAAAATCAACACACTCAACATTGCTTTCCGTCCTTCGCAAAGACTATACACGTTACTCTACCGCCAGTAAACCATTTTATACCCTCCACCATACTATGGAGGGTATATTAATTTTGTCATTCCGTTTGTAACTCCTCGAAATACTCATGTCAGACCCAACAAAGAATATATATTCTTGATCAGCGTAAAATTCCAAGACGATTTAGCTATGTCCGTCTGTCTGTCTGTCCGTCTGTCTGTTGTAATCACGCTATCTTTCGAACAAATTGAGATTGAAGGCTAACATTTTGCACACATGTATATTTTGCCAGTAGGCAGGTTAAGTTCGTAAATGGGCCATGTAGGTCCAAGTTATCATATAGCCCCCATATAACGGCACCTCCCGATATTCGTTATTTTGATGATTTTAGCGACATTATTCACCGGAATTGTATCAAATTTGGCATATGAAGTTCGAAATGGATACTACAGCCTAACACAGAAAATTATCTGTGCAGGTCCACGTCTTGGTAAAGCCCCCATGTAACGGTACCCCCCGATATTCGGTATTTTGATGATTTTAGCGACATTATTTACCGGGATTGTTTCAAATTTCGAATGTGAAGTTCGTAATGGATACTTCAGCCCATGCCAGAAAATTGTCTGTGTAGGTCCACGGGTTCGTATAGCCCCCATATAACGGTACCCCCTATATTCGTTATTCTGATGATTTAAGCTACATTATAAACAGATTTTTCTTCAAGTTTCGCATTTAAATATTGTAATAACTTATGACAAAAGTTGCCTATGCAGGTCCACGTCGTCGTATAGGCATTCAGTATTTTCAAGATTTTAACAGAATTTTTAACGGATTTTATATAATTTATTTATTTTTTTTTTTTTTTGAAATTGCCAAATTTGTACCAAATGGTGGAGGGTATTAAAAATTCCGGTCCGGTCGAACTTACAGCTTTTTTATTTTTTTCAATTCATTCTAGTCATCTTAAATGGTCGTGTTCACCTAGACGATACCATGTAAGACATCTTATTTTCCTTATTCCCTCTGGGCTTTATTACATGCTACCACGAGCCAGCATTGATTTCATTATTGTACACCTCAGATATCTTGACACAATCAATAGTAGCAGTACCAATAGATGACACATTCCAGTCTCAGGTGGAGAATGGGGGAGGGGGAAGATTTCCCATACCTTCTTTCTTGAATTCAGATACTATTGATGATAAAAACTTAAATGGGGGGTGGTGGTAGTTGGTGGCGATGGTGGTGGCAGGTCTGGGGGATGGGCCAAACAAAAAAGTTGGTGGTAGCTGCTGCTGCTGTCACATCGTTGTCGTAGTGATAGTATAGTAAAAGTATTCAATTCGTTTCGGACGCTCGTTTCGCAGGCACTCGTAGTCGTAGTCGTCATCGTTGTCGTTTGTCGTTCTCGTCGTGTGTTAGACAATTGTAAAGCTATTTCAAAAGAGATATACCAAAGACTACAAACAGTTCTCCGAGGACATTCAGAGCAGGAAGACATAATATACTATACAGACAAGAAAAAAACACACACAATCTTTGCAATTGAAAATTGAAGAAAGAAAAAAGTTAAATAAAATACTGAAATAATTATTGAATTAAAAAAAGAAGAAATTTAAACAATTTCAAGAAAACAAAAGTGAAGCAAAAAAAGTAATTTTTATAAAATTGAAAAAAAAGGATTTGAAAAACGCATAAAACACTTAAAAGAGAATTTTTCGGTTTGACCGTGTGCTCAAGAAAAAAAAAAAACGTTGAAAGAAAAATATTGATTTTTCTTTTTTGGAGGGGTCTAACAGATTTCTTTCTATCAACTTTCGTGGGGCAATGGGAGAATAGTTTTTTTTGTTAAATATTCATTGAAATAAGTTTAATTTTTTCAATAATTTGTTAAATATTATTGGAATTGAAAACGCCACAAATTATTTTGTAACGTAACAACCCCTTTTCCTTACAACCAGCAAAAAAAGTGGTATCCATACTAATCGTGAGATTCCATAGTTTTTTTGTTGTTTTTGTTGTTGGTTCATGTGTTCTTTTAATGCACACTTGTCGTTTTACCGTTATATTTGTCATTTACCCTTCGGTTTTTTCGTTTTCGCTGTCCTAAAGAAGTTCAGACATTCGGATTTGCTCATTTTCAGGAATCTCTCTCTCCCTGACACTCGAATGGGGGTCAATTCTTGACACCCTCTTTTTGGAAAAAAGGCTCTCTCTCGTGAAAGTTTTTCTCTCGAGCCGTTTCTCTTCCTCTCTCTCTCTTGCCCACATAATTATTGTTTGCATACATTAAACATAACCTTAAAATAAAAAATAAATACTTTTTCGTTGAAAAACAACAACAAAAACTGTGAAATTGTAATTTTGAATTTTTTTTTTGTAAAAGTGTGCTAATGTGTGTCATCTACAGAATTTGTCAAAAAATATAGAAAAAATCGGAAAAATAAATTAAAAAAAGACCAGCTTCAAAAAAAGGAGAACCCCCTGAGAAACAGAGAAAAACCCCCAAAGCCAAGAAAAACCCAAAAGCAACAGCAACAAAACCTGCAAAAATGTTTTCCAATATCACAAATCAATTCACATCGTTGGTGGGTGCCGTCAAAGGTGGCAACGAAGAAGATGTTCCCGCCTCTGAGGGAGCACCCGCCGCAGCAGCAGCCGCACCAGCTGCCCAACAACAGGATCCAGCAGCAGCAACAGCTGAGGGCGCTGAAGGGGAAGAAGGCAAAAGGTAAGTCGTTTTTTTTTTCAAGTTATTTCAGCGAGAAATCTAAGGGAGACCTCGCTCTCATGCTCTCTTGGGTGTTTGGAACTAGGAGTGTATTTGCTTTGGCACACGTGATAAATTGTTTTGCTGTTTTTTTTTTTTTAGTTTCTGCCATTCTTAACTACCAAGTCTAAGGGTGATAATTATCAATAACATTCCAATGGTATCAACATTTCCATATAAAATCTCAGAGAGAAATTTAATGGGAAATATTTGTTCTCTCTCATCATTAAATACAAAATTCAACTCTCGCTCTCATTATGGAAAATGAGTATCATATTATGCAAATGAGAGCCCTCCAAAAACAAATGAGAATTTTCCCCACGAAAAAACAATGACCAACTTATCACAAAGAGAGCGAGAGAAACAATGAGAGTTTTGTTTTTTCTTGTTCTCCAACAAAAACACAAAAAGCTCTCTTCTTCTTCTGCTTCAAGGATACTATGTGTGTACATCTAACCTAGAAATTTTTATATGTGACTTTTTTTTGTCTTTCTTTCTTTTCATTTTATTCGTTTTTATAATCTACACGTGATTTATAAAGAAAATGTTCGTTTTTTTTTTTTGCGAACACCAAACTGGTGATTATGAAAAGGGAGAAGGAGAAACTCAATGAGTTTCTGATTAGAATTTGATGTGGTTATGGGAAAAAACACTTTGAATTTTAACAAAGTAATGGAATTATTTTAAGAAACAATTTATTTTCATTTTACTTTTTGTTATTTTTGGGAAAGAAAATAAAAAGAAGAAGAATAAGATAAGTGTTTTAATATGAGAAAAAATTTATGAAAAATCCTAATTGTTTTCAAATATGGGTCGCATGTTATGTCATTGTGGCCACTTAAGTTTAATTGTTTCTTAAGTATGTCTGGCTCTTGATGCTCAGAGGACAATTAGGTTAGGTTATATCAAGCCTTGAAGCCTCAAGAATATGCCTGGACTACATCTCAATGGTAGGGGGTCGGAATGTTTGTATAATTTTAAAACTACATGACTTCCTTGGTTGTACTTAAGAAATTATGGGTCCCTCATCCTTTTTAATTATTTCGAATAAATACAATTTTTGAATGCGAGTCTGCAATTTTTTTTTTTACCTTATACAATTTTTTTTATTTATATACGTCTCTTATAAGGTTTATAAAGGTCTTTTAAACGAAGGTTCCAAATTTTTTGCTTTCATTTTTAGAAATACTTAATTTAAAGAAACTTTAGTATAAGTTAAAATTATTCGAAATACGGCCACCGAAAGGTTGATGAATGAATTTAAGTTTTTTTATAGCTACGAAGTTTAGTTTTTTATCTATGAACAGTTTGTTCAAGAAACATTTATTTCTTCTATGCATAGACATCTTGCAGTCTCATTTATAGTTTTATGCCCTCAACCATATGGCTAGAGCGGGTATCTATCATTCGATACGGCCGAAACATGCCTTATCGAAATGACGGCTCTAGAACCTAGGTCTCTTTGGAAGAAATCCGTTTCCGTACATTTGGAGTCGATCTAGCGTATGTTTGTCTTGGTGGCTGGTACGCCGGATGACTCTTCAAGGGAGTATTATAATATTTTTTACAAACTTAGATCGAGTTTAGTGGCGAACAATATCGGTGCCTCCTCCAGACAAAATTCCTATAAAATTGTGACAAATTGTGGATAACTGCCGGAAGTTACAAGTCAGGGATTTTTTCAAAACTTTGTGTTTTCCAATATTTTTTTTATAAAACTTACATCTAATGTATATACTCCTTCACCACTTCTTCTGATACCTCCACTATAAAAGATAAAAAAATTTGATGAACCATTTTTTTGGATTAGTTATATATCCTTCAATTTTTATCAGTATTACCTGTGGTGAAATGTGAATGGGGTGAAAAATCATAATGCAAGTCAAACTAAATTTAAATAAACTGATGTAGGCAGAGGATATATACTTGTCGGCAAAACCGACTGATACTTGATTTATAAGTATTCGTTTCCGATACTTCCAATTTTTGAATTTCATGAAAAAAAAACGTCAAAAATATTTTTTTTTCAAAAACAATGTTTTCTACAGAAAAATATCCTCACATTTTATAAATTCTTCTTTCCAGAGACAGATTCTAGATAGATTTAAGGAATTTTTTTATAATCTAATCTTTATTGCAGAGTATTGCCGTTTGCGTAATATTCTACTCCCGTTCCGTATTCTAAATATTCTGGATCAGCGTAAAATTCTAAGACGATTTAGCGATGCCAGTCTGTCTGTTGTAATCACACTATCCTTCGAACGAATTGAGATAAAAGGCTAACATTTTGCATACATCCACATTTTCCCAGTAGGCAGGTTAAGTACGTAAATGGGCCAGGTCGGTCCATGTTTTCGTATAGCTCCCATATAACCTCTCGATATTCGGTATTTTGATGATTTTAGCGACACTATTTACCGGAATTATTTCAAATTTTGTATTTAAAGTTCGTAATGGGTGCTACAACCTATGATAATTGTCTATGTATAAGCAAGTTCACGTTTTTGTATAGCCCCCATATAACGGATTTCCTTTGAGCGGCATTTTTTGACGGAACATAGTTCCTTTTTTAATTGTTTGTATATACAGTTGCATACTTTTAGGTGCTGCACCATAAAACTCTTGCTGCAATGCTATATGTTACCTCTTAATGCGAAGGAATCCTAAATCTCAGCAAAGATATTTAATACAAATTGGGGTATCAGGGCATTATTTGAACAAGAGAATATCGCACAAAATAGGTATTTATTTTTTGGCCTCTAAAAGTCAATAATGTACGTACTTATTTAACCATTAGAAGTCGTTATATAATGTTATATTATGACTTTTGACTACTTATTTCGTATCACATTCCCTTGTTAAAGTAATGAGTTGGTAAAGCGATTTGTAAGGAGTATTTTTGCTTGGGATGCCATTGAAATGTCGAAATATGCATATGACTAATAAAATGTTGGGGAATGTAAACATAATATTTTTCATCGCCAAAAGCTTTAAATGTTATATTTCTTAAAAAAAAACGAAAAAAAATCTTTTTTTAACAATTATGGGTCGGTTTGAAAATTTGTTAACTATAAATCACGATACCACCGGTTAAAACTCCGCAGAATATAAACTCGCCTGAAGTGTTCTGTTTCTTGTTATACCCTCAGCCACATGGCTAGAGAGGATATTACATTTTCTTAAATTTTATTGAATGAAAGCAAAAAATGTCGGAAATAGCATCAAATTTAGAAAAAGTTGAGATTTGTTTGAATTGGTTACCTTTGGCACGAATTATGGCCTAAAACGGCCAATGAAACCGTCACACGCTGCCCGAATGTTGCTCTGCGGTATTTTGGCCCATTCCCGGCGAAGCGCTTGTTTGATGTGATCCACACTTTTTTTAGTGCCAACCTTGCTTACAAAATGCTTCAGACACAATAGTCCAACGGATTGGTATCCGTTTGGTGATGGATATTGGTCTGCGGCCAAAATGTTTGCGTGCCCAAGGCTTTAATACACCTCCAGAATATTTTCGCGATAATATACGGCATGTATTCTGATGCCACGGTCGAGTAATACAAGCGGAGAGCGACCATCGGCTGTTATGGCGGCCCACATCGTCACCATGGTCGGCGCTTGAGTTCTGGTGGCCAACCGAAGGTACACATTTTCAGCTGACATCTCTGGTAAGTAAACACGATCATTTTGTTGGTTTACAAACTGCTGGACATCGAATGTTTTTTCATTGGAGACGGAGAAAACTAAATTCGGGAGTTCACCACTTTCGGCCAAGCGAAACAACTCTTTAGCTCTTTTGAGTCCATTTTCTTTCTGCGGTGTATGTTTTTGCACTTTTTGGAATTTCAATGGCTTTACCCCGAGCTCACTTTTGAATATTTGCCGAATGGAATATTTGCGAAATATTCAGCACACGAGCCACTTTCGGCCAAGCGAAGCAAGTCTTTAGCTCTTTTGAGTCCATTTTCTTTCTGTGGTGCACTTTTTGGAATTTCAATGGCTTCAGCCCGAGCTCATTTTTCAATATTTGCCGAGTTGAATATTGCGATATGTTCAGGTCACTAGTCATTTTTCGACCACTGCGACGCGGGTTTCGATAAATTCGCTATTTTTGCTTTTCAAACCATTTCTGCTGATGTTGCTGTTTTCTTCCGTCCACTTCCTTCCAGTATCACGGTAACGAGCGATGGTATGAGACACAAAAGATTTATTCACATTTAAATGCTGGAGTCCTCTAACGATAGCCACATGGGGTTTTCCAGCCAAATATAAAGACATCACACTATCACGCTTAAATTCCATCTCGAATAACTTTTTTTCTGGAAAATTCTCAGCAAAATGCTTTTGTTCGCTTGTAAACAATATAATGAGCTATCACTGGAATAATTTTAACAGCTGTCGGACGAGTGGCTTAGAAATGACAGCAGTCTGAAATTGGTTGCCGTTTTTTCATATCACCCCGTTAAATTCATTATTTAATAATGAATTTGTTCACTGGGTTATGCTAGTATTCAAAAAAAAAGCTCTCATCTCCCTTTCATAAATCCTCCCACAGAAAATACTTCCATTAATCCCATTTTTATGTTTTTGGGGGAAAAAAGAGAACAATAAAATCGATCAAGGACCTTTTTGAATGGATTGAAAAGTGTTCTACACGTTGTATGTGTATCTACAGATAAATGAATATGTTTCAATAGATTGATGACTTATACAACAACTTGCTGTTGTTGTAATTGAATTAAACCCCTTTTCGGCCATGCTCTCATAGAACTACATTGCACAACTGGTTGGTCGGTCAATAAAACAAATGGAACTTTTACAAACAAAGAAAAAAAACGAAATAAAATGAATGGCCGGAGGAGGTTGGCTGTTTGTTTAAATGTGTCAGACACAATGTCGTCTATCAGAATTCTGTTCTGTTTTTCCCCCTTCCCCATAAATTGGCCATATTGGCAATTGTG